CTGATCAGTGGTTAGTAATAACCACAGATTCGCAAGGTACTAACCAGAAGAGGCAGATTGAGTCTGGGGCGCTTCTTTACTGAACCGCCGCCAACCCTGAATCTCGCGCTACAGATTACCTATAACTGGTGACAGCCAGGTAATCCAAGGATTGAATATCTTCGAAGAGAAGCCTCAATTCGCGTTCCATCACGCACAAAGAGAAGAAGCAGCAGCAGATAACTTCGAAAGAAGACCTGACGCTACTTCCTATCACCAAAACTGTTCCCTAGGCAACCAGAGCCAGCAGTTCCCCGCCTTCCCCTTCTACTCACCTTCGGATCAGCTCCCCCACACAGATTCGATAAACCCTACCTCACATCCAAACTCGACCCCCCCCCCCTTCGAAGTACACCACTCACACCTACTACACCACACCCTTACCTACCGCAATCATGTCACAACACTCTCGCCGTCCTTCGTTGCAATCGCAACGCTCACATAACACTACCACAGCGTCGGTGCGACCCATCCCGACAGGCTTGGAATACAGTGTCAATGTGGCAACTTGGGGAGAAGCTTTTGATATTACTGATCCAGAACAGGTTCTCTACCCACCTACAATCAATGGATACATTACGATGTGTCTAGAAAGCTACAGACATACCTATGCCGGAAAACAAGGTGAATCCCTCCTAGAAGCCTTCCTAGAAGACTTCAGTGGATGGACAATGGAAATCTGGAAACATGCTCATCGATCTGCTTGTCGCCAGCTCCGAGAGCACCTTGTACTGAATGGAGTATGGTGTAAGCCAGCCAAGGGTTACTCCTGGGCATCAATCTTCCACGCTTTAGTCCAAGAGGACACCCTCGTGCCATGGACCTCAGCGCACGAGGCAGCTAGGCAGGTGATCATCAAGGAACAGGAAATCAAGGAGGCGAAGAGAATTGCACACGAGCAAAAGGGTAAAGGAGCTGCTCATACACTTGCGCCTACAACTACACTTCCAGTTGCACCAATTGTAATTGCGCAAGCACCAGCTACGCCTACATTGCACACACAAACAATGGACCCCCTCCCACCAACCACAGGCGCCAACAACACACCATTGGGCGGACCTTCCTATTCGAGCAACCCTACAAATGAGCCCAAACCGGAATCCACCCAGCGCTCTGCCCAACCCCAGACTCATGCTCAGCAGAACGCCCAGCATGTACCTTTGGTACCGCACTTGCTGCCAATGATGGTGCCAACCTTGCGCACCAGTGTGGATACCGAGTACCGAGTCACCCTTCCCCCTGATACCAATGTTCCCCCTTATGTGAGACTGCCAAAGCCACCACATTCAGGAACTGGGGATTACGTCAGACAGATCGGTGACCTTTCCAAAGTATACCTGGACAATGAGAAGAAGTACGGTGGCGCCGAATACGAAGTTTTCAGCGACAAGCTGAAGATTTTCTATGAGAACTGCACACGCCTTGGCATACCCCAGGGCGATGAGACGGGCTACGCAGTAGCTTTCTCTTTGATGCTCAAGGACGAGGCACACCAGTACTATATGACTGATATCTACGGTAAAGATATGGAGTTTTGGATGATGACTGCATTCATGAAGTCCAAGTTTGAGGTCCCGGAGTCTGCCCAGAAGTACCTATCGGAATGGAGATCACTCACACTTCAATCAGTGATGAGTCGTAAGGAGAATGCCGACAAAGATAAGTTGGAGTGCCTTACGCTAATGGTCAAGAAACTCTCCCTCATTCAACGCAACCTGACCCCCGAATATCACTCCGACAAGGCTCTGAGAGACGTGATTTTGAGCGCGGTGCAAGGCGTTCCCGAATGCGCGTTTGCTCAATACAACCCTGCGCCTACTACTACCGCTCTCGTCTCTCAACTACGATCATCGATTGCTACCACTACTACGACTAGACCTTCCACCGCCTACCTTATCGATGCTACCGAGTCGGGAGACCAATACGAGGACGAGGTCTACTACGTGGACCGCCAGTACAGAGGCAGCGGAGGCAACAGAGGCCGTGGCTACAACGGTAATAGTGGAGGAGGCTCTAGAGGATACTCGAGAGGAGGCGTTAGAGGCTGGGGTAATAGAGGAAACTACGGAGGTAGTAACAGAGGAGGAGGCAACCGTACTGATCGCACTGACAAACGTTGTTTTGTTTGTGGCGAGTTGGGCCACTTCTCTACGCAACACAGCGCCGAGGAGCGTAAGAAATCTTACGATAATTGGAAGCGCCAAGCCCAATACTACACGGAGGATATAGGACTTGAGGAGTATACTCAATACCTCATGCAAGTCGAAGGAGTGCAAGGTTTTGACCAGCAACTCCAAATTACCTCTGATTAACAATCAGCGGCCGCAACCCAATTCTCTACCGAATTAGGAACCATTGACGGCCAACACCTTATGATAGCGTTGCTTGAGAATGCAACCTATCACACCTTCACCTCTATCGACCCATTCAAGCCACCTCCGAACATCATCCCTTTGGAGCACTTTTTACTTGATAGATATTCAGCTTGCAAATTCCAAGGGTTTATTCCCGATTCGGGAGCAGCCAACCTCTCCACAGCTGGAGAGCAACAGGTTGAGGCTCTGCGAAAACTCCTCCCTCTCCGAATCAACCGAGAAGCAGCCGACAAGAATACTATCAAATTCGGAGGTAACACGACACGGGTTACAGGCTCTGTAATAGTCGATACACCTATTGGATCGATCGAATTCCATATTGTCAGTGTGGAGACTCCTTTCCTCATCTCACTCGAAGACATGGACCGACTCCAAGTCTATTACAACAATCTTGACAATATGCTCGTCCAAGGCCACAAGCGTATTCCAGTGATCCGCAAATGGGGCCACCCATTCCTCATGCTACAACCTGAAGACGCTTTTGCGGACGCGCACCTCACGGAACAAGAACTACGCCAATTGCACCGCAGATTCGGCCACCCGTCGGTTCCGCGCTTGCAGAAGGTTCTTGACCTTAGCGGCCACGATGATGTCGATCTCGGGACGCTTCAAAAGATCGAAAAGTTTTGTCATCAATGTCAGATGCACGGCGCAGCCCCTGGTCGCTACAAGTTCTCTTTGAAAGATGATCTCGAGTTCAATTACTCTATCATCGTAGACGTGATGCACTTAGATGGCAAACCAGTGCTACACGTAGTCGATTCAGCTACTACGTTCCAGGCTGGACGCTTCCTAAGGGATATGTCAGCTATTACTACGTGGAACGCACTCAAAGAGTGCTGGATTGACAGCTACCTCGGTCCCCCTGACCTAATTGTTCACGACCCAGGCACGAACTTCGCTGCAACTGAGTTCCGAGGTCTGGCCAAGATGATGTCCATCGACATCCAAGAGATGCCTACGGAGGCCCACAATAGCGTAGGAAAGGTAGAAAGATACCACCAACCTCTCCGACGGGCTTACGAAATCATCTCTGAAGAGATGCAGGACTTGGGATTGACCAAAGAGCAGATCTTGCAGATGGCAATTAAGGCCGTCAACGATACCGCCGGACCAGCAGGCCTAGTACCTACCCTTTTGGTCTTCGGCGCTTACCCCCGCATGACTCATCTAGATCCGCCAGCGCCCTCTACTACTACTAGAGCAGAAGCTATCAAAAAGGCGATGCTAGAAGTGAGGAGATTGCAAGCTGTAAGGCAAGTGACAGACGCTTTGAACATGCGCAACGGCCCTTCTACTACCGAAACACTCGCCCTCCCTTTACAAAGCCAAGTGAGGGTATGGAGGGAGAAGAAAGGAGAACAGCGCGCACAATGGACTGGCCCTTACACCCTTCTTGCAATTGAGGACCACACGTGCACGGTCCAAGTCAATAACAAGGCAGTCAAATTTAGAGCAACGGCAGTAAAACCGTACTACCACGAGGATGGCCTGGTACGAGCTGAGGAGGAATCACCGGAAGAGGAAGGTACACCAGTACCAGTGGAGGAGGCGCCTCGACGAAGTGGCAGAAACAGACGACCTCCAGATCGCTACTACACTGAAGCTGAGGAGCTAGCACAATTTTGGACCGCCGCAGCAACTGGGAATATAGGCGCGTTCCTAACTCGGAAGGAACAGACCGACCGCGAGCTAGCTACGAAGCTACGGGCTGAAGGCGTAATCACCACCCCTGGCGAGATTTTCGAAGACTCTCAGCGCCGGGAGATCGAAGGCTTGATTGCACAAGGCGTATTTGAATTCATCCCTTACGACCCCGTAGAGCACGCAGGTCAGCGTATTTTCGGTTCTCGACTTGTCAACGAGCTGAAAGGCAAGGAAACAGCCACCCCATTCGAGAAATCAAGACTCGTTATCCAAGCTTTCGCGGACCAAGGAAAAGGAGTAATTTTGACCCAATCACCAGCTATTCAGCGCTCAAGTCAACGATTGATCACTGCACTAGCACCAGCACTCCTTAAGCTAGGGATTTGCCTCTACCTTCGGGACATCACACAAGCGTATACCCAAAGTGAGCACTTGCTGAACAGACTTATCTTAGCACGACTGCCAAAGGAGATGGTCAAGTACTACCCCGAAGGTACGATCATGAGAGTCTTAAGAGCTCTATATGGAATCCCCGAAGCAGGGACCTTTTGGTGGTCAACGTACTACACCCACCACAAGGAAAAGCTGTCTACAGTCACCTCGACTTACGATCCTTGCCTCTTGATTTGCACCGAAAAGGACATGTTCGGACTCGTAGGAATGCAAATAGACGACACTTATTACCTCGCCGACGATCGATTTGCAGCCAAGGAGAGATCAGAGCTCAAGAAGGCTGGACTGAAAGCTAAGGACGAGACCAAGCTCAGCTACACAACCGACATCGGCTTCAATGGCTGTATTTTGAAGCTACAAGAAGACGATACCATGCTCCTCACGCAAAAGCAACAAGGCCAAAAGCTCGCCCTTGTGTCAGACGGTCCGAACTTCAAGCAAGAGTACCTCGAGCAGCGCGCACGCGGAGCATATATTGCTTCCACTTGTCAGCCAGAAGCTCTATTTGCCCTCTCAGTAGCTGCTCAACACAAAGACCCTGATAAAGCTGACGTCACCGCACTGAATAAGTGCCTTCAATGGATGATCGACAACCAAGGTAGAGGCCTCAAATACGTCCCAATCGACCTGAAGTCAGCCAAACTTTTTGTATTCGTCGATGGCTCATTCGCGAATAACAAAGACTTGAGTAGCCAGATTGGATACATCATCATACTAGCGAATGAGACGAATACCGGACCTGATACCTTCCAAATTCACGGCAACGTAATACACTACAGCTCTACAAAGAGCAGGAGAGTAACAAGGAGCGTGCTAGCCTCCGAGATCCTTGGAATGGTGGCTGGCGTGGACATAGCAATCGCCCTTAATACGACCCTAGATCAGATCACGGCACAACTCTCTCTACAGAAGATTCCAATGGTAGTATGTACCGACTCCTATTCACTCTACGAGTGCTTAGTGAAACTTGGTACTACTAAAGAGAAGAGGTTGATGATCGATGTAATGGCATTGCGTCAATCTTACGAAAGAAGAGAGATCGCCGAAATACGCTGGATTGACGGGAAATCTAACCCAGCAGATCACATGACAAAAGCTACCCCAAATAAAGCTTTCGAAAGCTTTATCGACTACAATACGCTAGAGGTCAAGGTTGAGGGATGGGTAGAACGTGAGAAGTGAGGAATATGGAATAGGGCTACTCTAGCCAAAAATAAAGAGTTGCCAGTGTCGGACTACTGGCACGGTATGGTGCACCGGACACGTGAGGGGTATGGCACGTAGGGAGGCACGTGCTGCCGTGGCTCCTGCCCCCTTAAGGGGCAGCCCACTTTGTACAGAGTAGAAGAATCATCAACAAATACAACAACAACACGACTGATTAATCACTCACCCCCCCTGTGACTTACCAACACTTTCCTTTCACGATGCATTTTTGATAAAGCTTTTCTCGGTTACGTGCCAATCTAATAGTAATTTAGTGCAATTTCCATTACGAAAAGTGGAAATATTATAACATCAGATTCCTTATTCGTCAACCAGGCGTGATTGTTCAAGCGTGTTTGTGAAATCCTCTCAGTCAAGCCAAAATAGCAAATGCCTAGCTTGCTCCAGAGGATGGCTGGAGGCAATCTGCTTGTAGATTATGCGTTTGGAGACCTATAATCACAAAGCCGGAGCCTTCAGAAACCTCTATAAAGGCATGGAGATTTCCGTGGAGGCGTAGAAAGATTTATATATAGTACACCACTTGGCCCTTGATCAGAGATTAAACAGCTTAGCGCATTCTATGCCAAACGCACATTCATTCTGAAGCATCAATATTCAAGCGCTCATCTATATATGTAACCTCCAAGTACGAAATCCAAGATTACCTACCTACTCGCCCCTCCGCAAACGCGGTCTTATAAGCGCCTCCGAGCCTCTATCAGTTCACCAATCTTATCCGATCGGCCAAAAAGAAGCGGCTTCATAGCCTCCTAGCCAAAGATCAAGCATAATTTATTCAAATAGGTATCCGCAGTTAGGGTTTCAACTGCTCTGCTGCAGAAGAGCTTAATTAAGAGGCTCCACAACCTACTCGGAGACCTCGTAAAGTTTACCTTCACATACCTCCATCAGAGAGAGAGAGAGAGACTCAATGCGAGATCTGAGCGACACAATAACGCTGGGAACGCCAACTTTACCATATACTCATCGGTGGACGCTCAGCTTTAACGGTGCCGGGAAAACCACGCTTGCTAATCATGACGACCTCCAAACACTTTACGAAAGCTCTACCACACAAAGACGCTACTCAATGGTGTCTCGCGGTATCATTCATAATTAATCATGGACTATGAGAAAGGAATCACGCTATCCTGAGTAGTCTACATGGAGTTGGCCATCTCTGGCTATTCTATGTATGCATGGGCGCTAAATAAGCGAGAAAATAAACAACGACCATATTATTGATATTTCTTTGGGCAAAAACAACCATTGCCAGATAAACAAAGCACTTAGCTCGCCGAAGAAGCTGGCCAGCCTGATCCTGTTATACGAGCGGCCCCAACAGGTGTTGCTGCTTTCAGTATTGCAGAGACTACTCTGCACTCCGATCAGCCTTGCTGGTGAAGTACCACGCTATGGACAAATCTCCCGCTAATCTCCAGACTCTCAAAGCCAAGCCACCCATTCCTATTGCTCAATCAACAAGAGACTGTTTCGTGCTACCTCACCGAGGGCGATATCGCCTTCCTAAATAGGAGAATCCAATGGATGATGAAGAATCAACAAAGAGGCTTGCTATACCTGAATATCGACCTCTACACCGCAAAGCTATTCGTATTCGTCGACGGATCCTTCGCAAATAACAAGGACTGTAACTCCCAGATTGGTTTCCTGATTATCCTAGCAACTGAGGACAAATCAGGGGGCTCCTTCCAAATTCAAGGGAACCTTATCACAGCGAGCTCTACGAAGTGCAAGCGTGTGACCCGATCAGTCCTCGCTTCGGAGACCTATAGGATGGTTTCAGGCCTGGACATTGCTATTTGCGTGGCCACTACACTCAACATGGTGACCAGCAAACTACAACCCCCGGAAGTTCCCATAATCGTTTGCACCGATTCCTATTCCTTGTACGAATGCTTGGTAAAGCTTGGGACCACGAAAGAGAAGACGCTAATGATTGATATCATGGCCCTTCGCCAATCATACGAAAGACGAGAGCTTGCCGCAGTGAGATAGATGCAACGGGAAGGACAATTTGGCTGACGCAATGACCAAAACCAACCCGAATAAGGCCTTAACGACTTTTATCGATACCAACAAGGCTACCTACCGTACGAGTAGAAGGTTGGGTTGAGAGAACCTAGGACGCTGGAAACGGAAAGGACGACATTGGGATTTAACCAAGAACGTTGGGGGGGGTGTTTATTGTTATTACTTGTGTTATTGCTACTCTTATAGTCGCAAAAGAGAAAACCTCGAGTGTGGGAATGCTGGACTGAGGAATGGGATTGGGCCTTGGCAATCACGTGTAGCAGCCTTGGCACCTACCACTACATGTACCTACCTTACCGGTAGCTGCACCTTGCAGCAAGAACCTCCTTCCTTAGACTTAACAATACAACGAATACCCAACTGATATTCGTACCAAGTCTCTGTGTGCACACCCTATGTGGATAGACCAACAGCTAAAATCCGGTACCTGTTGAGAGCTCAACAGAAGGGTGTGCTGTTAGGGTGTATTGGCTCGTTCCTACTACAACCTCGCCCTTGTTTCCTATTTTAGCACTAAATAATCAAGTCAATCAGCTACGCTCATCAGAAAAATTCCTCTTGATCTATCATCAACTCTCCGTACTACTTTAAATGATTACTGGCAGTACACTTATTTTATCATTTATTAAAAAAGATTTTCATTCCATGAATAAGCACGAAAACCTATAGCGAATCGCCTCGATTACTTACCCCCAGTATGAAGTTATTTGCGAACCCCGTCTAAAGCTCCACCTCAAGTAATCATCTCACCATCCTTTCTTTTTTCTTAAATATATATATATATATATATCTTTAAAATCATTTAATATCTTACTCGGGCTTTGATTCTACAACCTCAAGCGGCGTAGCCGCGTAGCCAAACGCAAAGCCCAGCCTCAATTATCCACTTACAACCATCTCTCTCTCTCTCTCTTGAAGCCATCTCATCCCACCCATTCGATTCGAGCGCATACGCTATTCAATTTACCTATCTATATACAGCAGCTACTCTAGCCCCCCCCCCCCCCCCCAAAAAAAACCCCTTCCGAAGTGATACCTAAAAGAACACTCACTCACTCACTCACTCACTCACTCACTCACTCACTCACTCACTCTCACCCACACCCCCCCACACCCCCTTCATCCACCCCCCTCGCGATTCTCGACTCCCCAAACGCAGACCCTCCCTACCCCCTACACAGCAAGACGGGAACCGACCGACCGACCGACCGACCGATCGGCTCGCCACGACAGGAGATAATAGCCAAGCCAAGCCAAGCCCAGCCCAGCGCCGAGCCTCAGATCACTCCACGCTCGACCAGCGAGAGCAGAGAGCCGCTGCGGAAGAGAGGGAAAGGGGAGAGAGCTACGGTAGCTAGCTGCCTGCAGCAGCGGAGAAGAGACTCGCTCACAGGAGAGAGAAGGGAGCTGCCGCGGACGGGACGGAGAGGAGGGCTGTAGAATAGAAGCCGCAGAAAAACACACAGCGGCGGCAGGTATGCGCTGGGGGTCACAGACGATAAGGGAAGGAGAGAATGGGAGCAAGGTTGTTTGTTGTACGTGTTGTTCTAGGAGAGCTCAGAGCAAAGGTGAGGCTACCGGTAGATACGGTAGGTACCTCTCCCAAGTGGTCTGTGCCACCTTGTAAGAGCCTGGTGGCCTAAGGCCATGACAGTCACCCACTCAACTACTACCTACTGATCTGCCTGCCCGTCTGAGTGAGGCTTACGCGTGTGTGGCAGAGCGAAACGGGGTGCCCAGATCTCCTCAGTCTATGGTCGTGATGTGACTGCTGCAACCATATCTCAGAACGTAAACTCATATCCCAGATATTAAAATCGCAGAAAGGTAGGTAGGTAGGGAGGTACTTCGTACACGTATAGGTAGCAGAGTCTGGTTTTGATTACGTATCCTTGTACTCAGTCTACTCTCCGTACCTACTAACGCCGCTAGATAACCAGCAAAGAAAATTCTGGGGAAATGCCATGCGGCCAACCCAGCCTAACCAGCCAGCCAATCCAGCCTATCCGTCCTTCAAGTCAGGCAGAGAAAGCAGCCCATCTGTATACAGACCAGGACGCCAGTGAAGATAAAACGGAATACCGGCACTCCCATGCCGCCTTCACCATATTTATCAATATCGAATCTTTTACCCTACGCTCTCCTGCGACGTATCCTTCACTGGCATGCCTCAAATCAGCCATTCATCAGCATGCTCTCCCCCTCTCCGTTTCCGCCGTCACCAATTTCTCGCTTGGGTCCCATACCACCCTGACCGTCACTGTAGTAACCAGCACCGGCGCCGCCTTCTCGCTCTGTACCTACTAATCTGTACTCGCCATCTTCTTTGCGCTCAATGATGCCCTGTTCGAGGGCCCATCTAGCAAGGAGCTTGTCAACGCCAAGTCGACCTGCCTCACCTTTCTCCATATGCCTACCAACATGCTCGGTCCAATCGTCCCAGCTGCCTGTACCCTCAAAAACATTGGAGCAATCAGGCTTGGGGCAGGCTGATCTTTGGGGGGGTTGTCGTCGAGTGACAAGGCAGCTGGATTGCATATCCTTGACATGAGTCTCCCACTCCAGTTGTAACTTGCTATCGCCTTTGGCAATGGCTTTCTTGATAGCGAAGGGAGCATGCATGCGTCGAAGATGTTGGGTAAATAGATCCTTGCGATTAAACTCGTTACCTTTACCCTCAACCGTGCTTTGAGGGCAAGAGGAACAGCGGTAGTAAGTGAGGCAGAGGTGCTGGGAGGCTATGTGCCGTTTCCATTCGTTCTTTGATCCGAAGGTGCTGGTGCAGCCTGCGAAGGAGAAGGCGCAGGGAAAGGGGCGGGTATGTGCAGCGGCAATATGCTTCCGAAGCGAGGACGAGTCTTTGAAAGGAGCATGACTACATAAGGCACAGCGTGTATCTTGCTTTGGGCCTTGCTTCTGCATGGATCTCCTAGGCTTCGGTCTCGCGGAGTTGTATTCGGCGTTGTACAGTTGGTCTTCCGCGCTAGATTCATTCTGATCCTGTGATGATGCTGAATCTTCTCGACCGCTTCGCATGCCAGGAGAATCTTCTGAAGGGATATGGGAGTGCGTGCGTTCGCTGTTGGCATGCTCATGGCTAAGGTGTCGAACATGGCTGAGCGCCTTCAGTTGTTCCGCAGCCTCGTGCATTTCGACAGAGTCTTCGACTTCATCCTTGTGATCAGGTATACTTGGCTGCTCGATGTGCTGGTAGACAGCCTGAGGAATCAGGTTCGGCGTTCCCATCAGCAGACTATCTTGTGCCATGCTTTGATGTAGAAGGTCTTGCTGCATAGAGTCTGACCGAGGTTCATGTCGAATCATCACCGGAGTCGAAGCCGCAGCCTGACGAGCCTCGAGGAGGATTTTGCCATCTTCAAGCTCTTTGAACGTGGCTTGTTTAGTCATAGGCGAAAACCCACCGACTAGGCGTTGATACTCAGTAGTCATGTTATGCGAGTTGACGTACCCCAAGAAGGCACAGGTGCGGTCTGCAGCAACTACATTCCAAACAGAAATTGGCATGGAAACCAGGAGGACTGTTGGCGGGCCGTGGAACATGCCTTCCACAGAGATCTTGGCAGCCGCTTGAGGGGAATCGACAAGCCACTGCTTGAACGAAGCCATATCTTGACTCGGCTCGCCCAAGAACGTGGTGCAGACCAGAGCTCTCATCTCGTCGAACACGAGATCGGCGTTCACACTGATTTTCAGGAGCTGCTGTTCGTTGTGGAGACTGGTCGCGGCTGCCTGGTGGTCATACTCAGGAGAGTGTACGGGTGAGGCAATGTGAGAAGCAGCAAGTTGGGGCTGCTGGGTAATAGGCGAAAGAGTAATGTTTTGCATTGAGCCCGGGGTCAATGAGAAAACAACGGGCATTCTCTCTCGACCTGGAGCAGGTCTACCTGCACCGCTAGCCAGGCCTGAAGGCTGGAGGAACTTGTTGTGTTGCATGGATATGATCTCTTCGTGGAGACGCTGGACGGTGAAGGGGCGGCCACTACCAAGTCTCGTCAGAGCCTCGATGAGATTGAACGTGAAGGACCGAAGTCCTGGCTCTTTATTGGCCTGGTCAGGGCTGTACGCGGCAATGGTTTGCTTAATGCCATTGGTTCCGGTGGTGGCGGCATCAGCAACGGCGCAGGTATCAAGTAGAAGAAGTATATCCGATTGGCAGTCCTCCAAGAGGCATCTGACGCCTTCCCACTTGAGTTTGGAGGAGTCCTCGCGAGAATTGCTGTTACCAGGTTAGTATCTGCCGTAAGGCTGTGTAGGACTAAAACCATACCAGGCCCAGTACAGATTATGGTCAGAACCTACAAAGCCATAGCCCACATAATACACGATCCAGAGATGGTCAGGTCTGGAGTACTCGAGGTGTTGAGCCATCTGCATTGTGAGTTTCATGCTGGGGTTTGGGCAACTGGGTATACTCCAAGACTCGGTGCGGAAGTTGAAGCGCTCGCGGAACAACTTCTGCAGTTGCAGCAGATCATGTTCAACACTGTTGTCGTCCTCCCATCTGAGGAGCAAGACCGAGACACTTGCATATGGTGATCGATTGGCCTGAGAATAGATCAAGACGGCCGCATCTTGCAGATGGCGCGCAAAGGACTCGAAGTCGGTGCGCTCGGGAGGAGGTGCGTTCTGGACGGGCGGGAGGGATGTGTAGTCGTATTCGACCTGTTGAGCCTGCGCATCAGCTTATTAGCATACACCGAGATCTTTGGCGTGGGGAACGAGCAGGCTGTACCTGTTCGTGGAGAGGTTTTTCCGCGAGTTTCGGGGCGAGTCGACGTTTCTTGGAAGAAGGCTCCATGTCGCAAGGCCGACGCAGAATTAAGGTCGGCGATGGGGGGTGATTAGACGAAGGCAAAGAAATGGACAAGAGAAAGTAGCTTGAGCGAGGTGCAGTGGATTGTAGAGATGATTGAATTGCCCAATAATTTTTGGAGTTGGGATTATTGTCGTCGTCGTCGCCGTCAAGGGAACGACGTCGAGGCTGCACACCAAAGAATAAGACAGCCTCGCAATCAGGAGGCTAAGGCTAAGGCTAAGGTACTGTGATTTGGCTAGGCTAGGCTAGGCTACATAAGGTGGGCGGGCTTGCCGAGGTCTAGCCAAGACGCAAACGCTTCCGTTACAAATTCACGTAGTTAGAAAAGAATTATATGATATATCATAGATCATTTCCCGCCCTAGAAACACGTGGTAGATATATGGAGATAGTTAAATTTTTTTTTTTTTTTTTGGTGCCATGGATTTAATTAAACCGATCCAAGACGTCGACCGATACCTTCGTAGAAGAACTTACTAAATATGCGAAAACAATATAAACGCTCTGAATGTCGTAATAAAACTAGAATTAAAGTAATTAACTCACCAATCTAATCCAAGTTTTGCATACCTGTTACCAAACACGTAGGGAAATCCTTGTGATATGTTGAGGCCAGCGTAAGCGAGGTCTCCGAGAGTCGCCGAGCCGATAAATTGATCACGCTGGACTGAGACTCGACGTGCAAGAGAGCTCTTTCGGAGATCGATGGTAAGCTAACCCGAGGTTGCTACCACGGGTTTGTGCCCGGAGCACAATATCGGCAGCTAGCATATTGAGAATCTATATACTTTCGCCTCTCATAGCCTGTAGAAGGTCTCTTCTAGACACACCATCAATCACCGCACCCATTACTATGCTTGCCCAAGAAGTGCTCTACATTCCGGACGCCTTCCCGCCTATCACCCTCAATGGCAATGACCTCTCCAATCAAGTCATGGTTGATCTTCTCGCTCACCACACTATCTTTCTCATAATTCTCATGGCCGGCCACGAACTCCCTGATCCACTTGGCGGCCGTCCAGAGACCGCCATTTGCTCGCCTTTTGATGAGATTGAGATATGCCGCTAGCTCACACCGGGTCTCGACATCCACATTCATGCTATCGAGATAGCTTTCCACAAGTGGGATCAAGCCAGGGAAATCATAGCCCGAATCAGCCTTGCTGCCGTTCATGATCTCATCGATGCTCATGAGAGCATACTCATCTTCAACGGGGCCAGTGGGCGTCGGCGGGCGACTGATCGTTGGGGTGTCGGTTTCAGAGCGGGATCCTCCGTTCTGCGAGTATGGCCGTGAGAAGCGGGTGGGGAATGGGTTCTTGCGGAAGTAGAATCTGTCTTGTAAAACAGCGTCTCTTTTATGGGCTGTCTCCATGTTCTCATCTGTCTTTTGGATCGGAATATAAAAATTCAAGTCGAAGCTCAGAATAGCACGGGTGATGAGGACCATGAAGACGGAGAAGGCTGCGTTCTCGAAATCCGTGATCTGAATTTCCATAGGTCGGAATTCGACCCTCCATCCGATGTCGCTGCCCGCCGGTGGGGGCTTAAACCGGATGTGTTGCCAATTGGTGGATTGCAGGTTCTCGAAGTGGTCAGTCTTCGTGAGGTCCAGTTCTTGGAGGTCTTCGGCGAAGATAACCAGAGGGTCACGGATAAAGAGATGGGCGAAGTGGGTAGCCAGGACGGAGTCGACACCACCGTGTATGAGTTGTTGCTTGACATCAGGATCAGTAATTAGGTTGGGATCTAGGTATTCCTTGCGTAGTCGAGCATCGTCTGATATGTATGTCGAGTTTGATGCGTAGCGAGATTTGGGGATTCGCCACCGGTTCTCGTTCAGCGGCTATAGGCACAATCAGCGAAGATCAGAAACAGAAGCCGACAAACGAACCCTTTCTCCCAGCTCCTCGGGAGTTCGATCGTCCACTGCAGCGCTGATCTGGTTCCACCGCACATCGGTGTCTGCCAGGAAGCCCTTGTAGATCGGCGTTGCTGCGGTCAAAGCAAGAAGTACGGGTCCCAATGGACTCAGCTGATCATACATCCTTCGTCCTTCGGTGATATTTTTGGCCTGAAACGTGATTTGCAAACAGCAGCTTCCCATTCCAAAAGCCATGGCATCCATATGTATGAAATTGTCCGGCGAAGCTCCGTTTCGTACATCGTCATCCTCCGGCCATTTATGAAGATCATACTGAACAGTAGGATCTTTCCATGGCCATGGAGTGTTCTCATCTCTGAAAACAGGTACATTGACTTGAACTTTTCGACCCCGGCGGGAGCGAATATTCGCGGCCAGGGTAGGGAACCGTATGTGAGGATTGGCAATCTCATCAGGGACGAACTGAGATCGCAATTTATCTCCAGATGGCGGGTAATATGGTGATGTGAATGTACCGGGGCTACCAAGGCGAGGATATGTCGTCAATGTGATAGGGAATTCTTCTGGGTGCATGTGTTCTTTGGCAATCTTTCGTCTAGTTCATATTAGGAAGTCCATCTATGGTTTCGTGGAGTTCCGACACTGACCTCAATCTCATGTTGGTCTCGACGTCCAGTAGATCCTTGAAGCCAATTCCCCATGGCTTTCCTGGCGTAGCCTCCAACATGAATCGTCCGAATTCAGGATGAAAGATGGGAAGGGTGGCCTTGCTATTACGGCGTCAGACATAATGCACCAACGAGGAAAGTAATCCGCATACCCATCCACGTTTTGTAGATCTGGCACACAGCCTCCCTCTGCACATAAATTTTCATCTTGGGCCAGAGCAGTCAAGATGTCCGCCTGGCGTAAGGACAAAGTAACATCCGGGTCTTCTTTCTTGTAGTTTACCACCAGATATTCAATCTTGGCCCATCTTGTCAGCACCTCTGCTGGTTTCTGCACGAAGAGAGAAGCGAACCTCGTCTCCCCACAGCAACGCATCCTTTTCTTTCCCCTTTGCCTTGTTCCAAATGGCCAATAATTGCTACCCAGACAGGTTGATCAATATGTTGCCTCCAGATCTCGTCGAGTTTGCGTACCTCTACTCCCCATTCGCGAACATGGTTCGCATTTTTCTTGGCTTCGGGCCAATCGAGAGGCGTACCCAACGCCCTGCAAGATACCACGGGTCAGTATTGCCCTCTCCACCGCCGTAACCGGAATATTTTTCCCGTCTTGCAACAACTCACAAAAGCCCCATCTTGTCTCAAGCGGTGCTGCCTGCCGTGATCCTGGCCCGAACCCGGACGCCAATGCCGAACCTCATGCGCCTCGGTCCACACGGCAATCGATTCGTGGACCAGCTCCGTCGTGGCTTTTGGGACGTGGCTGTCGTGGTTCGACGCTGTCCGCAGGCACCGCAAAATTGAGTACCTTTGGTCGCGATTGATTTTACAAATCGGTGTATCCGGTGGATCGACCGATCCTATTGACGTTGCGCCCTTTGATCCGACGGGGGCATGTAGCAGACCCGCGGGTTCCCGTCCCGATGCCGGACGAACGAGTTCCTTCACGTTGCGCAGACGGCCAACTCTTTCGAATCGCAGCCTCGAGACTCGTCCGCGGGAAGGCTGTAGGAGAAGGGAGGTATCTGCGACTTCTGGTCCAGATCTTGCTCAGAACGCTGGAGCGGAAGGGGTACGGGAGAGAGATTATATACAGGTGTTGTTGCAGGTGGAGTAAGGAACGTCAGGTACCATAATCATAGCGTCATTTCTCTAGCTAACCAACAGATCAGGATTTCTCGCTTCAGTAAGTAAGCCAAGATCCCAAATAACGTTTGTCGTTTTGTTGAGTTCCGTTGCTTGGAAATCAAATGATAATAATGATGTCTGTGATACATGGGTGAAAGTCGATAGTAAAGCCATGGCAGCATTCTCGGATTGTTGCCCCGAAGTCGCTTCGCTTACTGTACAGTGCTGTCGGTACTTATTACGAGAGGCCAGACGAGGGAAATCTTGACGCTCTCCTCTCGACCATCAACACCAGGCTCCGACGTACTTGTTTGTATTGCATGGCTGGAGAAAGAGAAGCCATTTTTCCAATGGGAAGCAAAGATACTCGCTCGAGTCTGGTGTCTGTTGGCCTCATCTTTGCCAAGTCTCTCGACCTTCTCGCCATTTTAATCCGCATAGAGCGGCTGTCTAGTAAGTCAACAGCAGTCCAAGTCAACCAAAATCGGCTGCTGTCATAGAAGTTACTAAAGAAAACCATACGAACTGTTATCCAGCTAATTAGTTATATTTGCTCGGAGTCTCTCCCACCCAGACCATCATCCTCGTCTCGCAAGTTCGCAACCACATCTTCCCTCGCTGTCACTTGACGCACTTGGGTCCAGAGGCAGTCTCGTCCCGATCCTGTACGGTGGCGACGACGATACATATCATGTTGTGGTATATGTGCATGCAGTTATGTGTGGCTTTCCTGCTTCCTCCAACGGCAGCAGCCTCACCACACCTCATCTCACCTCACCTCAACCTTGAGGCCCAGCCAGTCCAGCAGCAGATGGCCGTCCGTCATCCATTCCCTTGTGCACCCACACAGCTGTAGCGGCGCCGACAGATAAAGACCAAGATTCCGATGCACATGCAGGTTTGCATGCATGCATGCAGATGGCCGGTCGGATCACGAGGGAATGGGGCATGGGATCAACGTCTGTCCGGCTTGTCCTACTGCCACTTACACTGCGTTGCCGATGTTTTTTCTTGGACCTTTCTTTGGAACATCGGGAATAAGGTCGAGGCGAGGCAAGGCAAGGCTCGCCACTTCGTTCCCTACTCCGACCAGTCCTTGACTAAAGCGACAGTGCGACCCCAGGTCTCATCTCTTACCTCTATCTCTCATCCCGAATCTCGCTTCCATCTCGTGGAAACGCTTTCTGCACGCAGCCGACTTCACCCAACATTACACGGCCTTAAGGTTGTGTATATATATATCTATGTATGTATAGGTGCGAATGGTCTAAGCACAGCGTCATCTCGAAGATTAGACGAGCTCATGTCGATGGCCTAAGATGGACAAGACACCCGAGATGGCATCCCGGATATCTACGGGGAGGCGTCATCTCTTCTCACGCGCAAGTCTTCATCTGAGCGTCAACATTCTGGCCTTCTCTTCATCGACAGCCCCGAAGAGAAAACGTGCTACACCTTCGCCGACAATCAGCTTAGCAGAGTTTAACGTGGTCTGTCAAAGGCTTAAAACCGAGCGAGAAAGTCAGTCGAACCTTCCATTCAGTGAGTGATATTTGCGGAAAGGTCTTATATTGAACCTTTGATTAACGTCAAATGCAAACGAGTGACGCCAATTGAACGGCAGGAAGAAGAGGAGGCAAGAGGGGACAAGCCAGTTGTATTATTCTATGTAACTCCCTTGTTCCGCCGTCTCTTATTCGTGAAAGACACCCGGGCGAATCAATCACGTCCAGAAGACCACGACCGAAACGTTGGAGCTCCTTCGCTTCCATCTAAGAAAGCTGTGAGACCTCAGACCGCGTGGAAGTACTTGTATTATTATCATCATTATCATTATCATCATTACTATTATTTCTTTCTTACTACTAGAGCTTTACGATACATCACTCTTTTGAATACACAGCTTTACCAGCCTTCCCAAAAGCGTAATTGAGCAAAAAAAGAAGAAGAAGAAGAAGAAGAAGAAGAAGAAAAAAGTTAGCTCCTATAGGTATCTCATGAACCGCGCGTTTTCATCAATAAAATAAAATAAAGTATCCGTACGGGGGAATAATCAAGTCTGCAAGAATATTTACTTACTTGCTTCCCACCGCTACCGCTCCGGTACATCGACACGACCCAGCTCCAGTCAAGGCCACCTCAGTCAGTCCGTCACGCACGCACGCACGCATACATAAGTAAGTAAGCAAGCAAGCCAGCCTCGCTGAGCGTAACCGGTAGCATACCGTAGGTAGATACCCTCAGGCGCAGGCGCAGGCGCAGGCTCTTCGTCGCCGCGGTGTCCTCTCATCGTATACAGTGAAAGGAATCCTCTTCATTCACTCCATTCGCTCCATCTAGACCATTGTGAAGTATCCAGAATCTAGAATCCAGGAACCAGAAACCGATGCCGATGCCACTCTTACCGGCTGAAATACACTTGCGAGGCACGCTGGTGCAGAGGAGGACCGGTCCACGACCGGCGATGGAGTTGGTATAGTATTTACCGCGTGGGGAAGGACTGTGATTAGGTGCTGCTGCTGCTGCTGCTGCTGCTACTGCTTGAGGTTCTTTTTCATTTTGGTTGGTTTGTTGGTTGCTTGCTTGCTTGCTTCCTTGCTTCCTTCCTTACTTGCTTGTATATATATATAATACATATAAATCAACCACACTCGAAGTTTTCAGACGAGCTTCAAGATTCGAAAGAATTCTTTTTGTTTGTTTGTTCTTGTTCTTGTTTTTATTATCGCATATCGCATCTCGCAGTCTTCCATATCCAGCGTTTGTAGTCTCTATGGCTAGCTAGCTAGCTAGCTTCACGAGGAGGTTTCGAGATGTGAAGGCTGGAGGAGAGTGGGAAATAGAGAGTGGGAAATAGGATAGATAGATGGGTTGGGTTTGGTTTACTTTGGTTCGGAGCTGGATAAGCAAGCCTTTCTACAACGGACGTAGTACTACTATACTACTAGCTAGCTATTTATTCGAAGGTATCAGAACCTTGCTTGAGCTTGAGCTTGACCTTGACCTTGAGCTAGAGCTAGAGCTAGCACGCAAGGCTTTTTTTTTTAAAAAAAAAAAATGTAGCTGTGGTTATAGTACAGTACGATAAGTACGCAGTACATTAGCAGTAGTAAGTAGGTAAGTAAGTAAGTACGCAATACAGTAGTAAGTAAGTAAATAAATAAATAAATAAAAATAAAAAGCAAGCCCCAACTCCTCCAACCCTCCAACCCTCTCATCCCCCTCCCAGACTCGGCGGGCACAAAAGCCGTCTCCCGTTCCAAGGACATCATCCTAGGTACACTACACTACACTACAGTACTAAAACACTCCGTACAGCTACCTACATACCTTCCTAGCTAGCTAGTAGTAGTACCTGCAGCGAAAGCCGGGAGCGATCCCAGAGGGTTTCCTTTACCTTTTACCTTTTACCGTTACCGTTACCTGCGGAGCGCCGTGCCGCGCCGTGCCGTGGACGGGAGGTGTGGTTTGGGAAGTGCTGTTGTATTGTATTGTATTGTATTATACTACACTACACTAAATACAGTACAGTACTATACCATCTACCTATCCATCTATCCATCCATCAACCAACCTACCATCTCCACTTACCCCAAAAAAAGGAAATCTAAGCTCACTGCATAAGTCCAAGAAGAGCTTATATATTATCCGTACTGTACGTAGTACCACTCTATCAAACCACGAACAGGTAGATCAACTCTCACTCTGCGCGGTACGGCACCAACGCCGCGCTACGTACAGGGCAAAGTCAGAACGTCCTCTTAAGTGGCAGGGGACAGGGAGAGAGGGAAAGAATATACGTACGTAGGAGTACTAAGTATGGGAAACTGAACCCTAGAAGCACCCTCAAGGGTGTACGTAATAAGTAATACTACTACTACTGACTGACTGACTTACTTACTTACTTACTTACTGACTGACTTACGCCTAGGACGTACGTACGTACGTCTTACTAGTAGGTACAGTACAGTACAGTACAGTAGATACCTACTCGCTAAACCAAGCTCCTATAAGTACCCTCCCTCTCTCTCTCTCTCTCTGTCTATCTGTCCGTACGGAAACACAGCCAGCGGTCGTGGACCGATCCGGTACCCCCCCCCCCCCACACCCGCCGTCTTAAGCTGCGATAGAGAACGAGCAAAGCTTCAGCGAGGCAGCGAGCGAGCGGCTTTGCGGTTTGGCGCTTCGAGTTGCGGGGGGGTGATTATGTGATATATAGATAGATAGATAGATGTGTATGTGTATGTATGTGTATGTACGTATCTAAGACGGATATCCATCTTCACGTTCCGTAAATCTCCTATTAGTTTCCATTCCACCATTCCACCATTCTAGCCCGGTACGGTACCGCCCTGGCATACCCCCTCTGACGTGGTAAGCGCACCAGAATCAGATTCGTCGACCCCTCTTTTTTTTTTTTCTTTTTTTTCCGCACGCATCCTTGATACCTAGCCGCGCGCGGGAGATCGGAAGATATACATACAGTGTGCAGTATACAGTAGTGAAGCGAAGGATCGCGAAAGCACTCATGGCGCGACGAAGCTGGTTTCGGTCGGTAGTGGGTCAAACAAGGGGGGATACGGTACGGTACTGTACATGAGCGCGGTACGCCGCACCTCCGTGGGTCTGAGCCGGCGGGGATACTGCGACAGTACGGACTGCGAGGTACTACGTAGGTAGGTAGTTGTCACTGACTGGGTCTCGCCGCACGAGAGACAGAAGAAGAGAGGAGATGGTACTGAAGGTGACGGAGCTGAGAGACGGGGTTGCCAGCGGGGGGTTGGTGAAGGCTGGGCTGGGCTGGGCTGGGCTGGGCTGGGCTAGGCTGGGCTTTCCCCGTCCGGTACGGTAGTTCGGACTAGGGACCGTCCCCCCTCGTCCCCCTCTATTACAAATACAACCATGTCAGAGCCCGTTGAGCCCCCCCATCAGTCCGTCGCACTAGTAGTACAGTACTGTAGTAGTACCTACTATCTACGTAGTACAGTACATACAGTTTCTGACGGGCGCAAAGCCCTTGCTTGCCACTGGACTCGGTCACGGGGATGTCGCTCGCTTGCCGAGTCAGGCAACCCTCTCGGCAACGGGAACGATCTCTGCGTCCCGACACACGACTACGCACTTGGGACACACGACACCACGTCCTGTACTGTATCGCGTGCAGATCGGATCGGATGGCATCGCGTCGCATGGGTGGAGATCCGATAGATCGCAGCGCCTCAGGGATGTCGATCCGCGCGGCCCCAGAGCCGCAATATCGCCACTGGCGCTCCGCACGGGGTCTATCCTGCCCTCTGCCCTCGGCCCCGGCCCGGCGCTCGTTCGCGGCCAGGGCAGGGCTCGCTCTCTTCGCAGAGTTATACTGTACTACCGGTAGTCGGACTAGTCGTTCTAGTCATACTACTATCTCTCCGTATCTTCGGATCTGCACCTCCACCCCCGCTGGGCGACGCGGGATGCGGACGGCGTGTGGGGTGGCGTACCGGGCGGGGACGCGCGACCACGAGCCCGAGGCTGTGGTCCGGAGGAAGATGGCCCGGCTGAACCCAATTCCGTAAACATCGATAGCAGGAGATAGTAGTAGTAGTAGTAGTAGTAGTAGTAGTAGTAGTAGTAGTAGTAGTAGTAGTAGTAGTAGTAGTAGTAGTAGTAGTAGTAGTAGTAGATAAGTACAACTTCGATAAAGTCATGCGATGCCCTTGCAAAGCCAAAGCAAAGCCAAAGCAAAGCCAAAGCAAAGCAAAGCAGACCCATCGAACGCTGCTCACGCGCCGGCTCATTCCGTCTCTTCCCTCCCCATGGTGGCCGACCCCACGGCCATCCCCACCACCATCGCCGACCTCGACCAGACTTTCGGGCCGGGCCTCTTCTTATCTGACCTCGAGCCTCCCCCACCCACCCCCCACGCTCGGAAGGAAAGGCAGCAGCCCCGGGAGATACGTAGTACCGTAGCAGTACAGTACGTACGTAGTAGTAGTAGTAGTACTGCTAGCCGTAGATTCTCAGATCGATGACGGAGTCCCCTATCCGGGCCGCCCAAAGTCAAACACGACGACTCCTGTCCGGTCGTGGATGAGCAGAACGAGCTCGAAAAACCAAAACCAAAACCAAAACCAAAACAAAAACGTGGGATGCGCGAGTGGATGGGTAGCTGTGGACGGTGGACTGTGGACTGTGGATGACCGATTGGTGGGTTCCCCTCCCCTTTCCGGAGCCCGTTCCCACGACTACTGGCCTGGCCCTCCACGCCCTCACGGACGGCGGGTCTTGCTGTGAGCGGAGCCGGAAGCGAGCATCACCTGGGTAGTGAGTGGTAGAGAGATGGCATGAAGATCGATCGATCTGTCAGTTGGTCGGTTGGTCGGTTGGTCGGTTGGTCGGTTGGTCAGTTGGTCAGTTAGTTAGTCGGTTGGTCAGTCAATTAATTAATCAATCTGTCAGTCAGTTAATTAATTAATTAATAAATTAGTTAGTCAGTCAATCAATCAATCAATCAATACAAATACATGTAAAACAGTTCAATAACCCCCCTGACCCTCCCTCCGCCACTACGTCGAACGAAGCATCCGTCTCACACACAACCGTCATCGTCGCTCGTCCGCTCGTCCCTTATCCAACTCGTCCCCCATCCACCCTATCCACCCTATCCACCCCACTAACCCTATCCCCCCATCAAACCCCCAATCCGTTATCGATCCCTCAGCTACCCGTCGCCGCCCGTCCGTCCGTCCCGTCCCGTCCCCGTGCTCAGGCCCGTGCTCGCCGTAGTACTCAGCTCAGTCACTCAGTCACTCAGTCACTCAGTCACTCACTCCAACCCCACCCTGTTCCCTACCCTGCCCTACCCTACCCTACCCTATACCTTATACTCTCTACCTTACACCCACCCCTGTCCATCCACACCCGCCCGCTCTCCCTCACACAGCACCCACACAACCCACACAACCCATTAACCAACACACCAAAGCAAGAAAAATCCATAACCCAAGCCCCAACGCAGCGGCAAAGCATCCACCTAAAAAAAGAAAAAAAAGTAAACAAAAAAAAGTCAACCAAAAATCCGACATCCAAAAGACGAGTGGGGTTAGGTTAGGCGTGGGTGGCTGTGTCGTATCGTATCGTATCGTATCGTATCGCATCGTATCGTATCGCATCGTATCGTATCGTATCGTATTAATTGACCGCTTAATCAACCAATCAACCAATCAACCAATCCATCCATCCATCCATCCATCCATCCATCCATCCATCCATCCACCAATCGAGTGGCTAATTCATCAATCAATCAATCAATCAAATCAAATCAAATCAAATCAAATCAAATCAAATCAAATCAACTCAACTCAACCATCCAATTAATTATTAAATTACCTACTCACCTGTATAAGTAGATGATATCACTCAATCCTCGAAATTACACGCATACACACGCATTCATCAACCAACCAACCAACCAACCAACTGACGGAAAAGCTCCCCACCACCACCGCCGCCGCCGCTACTTAGAGTTAGGTAGGTACGGACGGTACTTACTACTAAGTAGAGATACGTAGTTAAAGACGGTTAAGGTTACGCTTACGCTTACGCTTACGCTTACGCTTACGCTTACGCTTACGCTTACGCTTACGCCAGAGAAGAAGAAGAAGAACAGGATGCGTGCGTGCGTGGATGGGTGAATGGATGATGATGGATGATGGATCAGGCGGCGATCGAGATGGATCGAGATGGATCGATCGATTGCTCGATCGATCGCTCGCTCGCTCGCTTGTGATGGGGCG